CGACACTGAGGGTTGCGATCCGTTGCCGGACACGGAAAAAGACAAAAAAAAAAAAAATAGTGATACTCTAATTAAATCATTACTTCATTTTTTTAATCTGGAAAACATCTATAAAGATAATTTTTCCTTCAATTATTTGGTTTTACTGAAATACATTCCATACAAAAAAGACTGGTTAAAGATTTGTTTACCAGTTTTCAAACTAATAAGTTGGTTCATCTTCCAAATGTACCTAATATGACAATTTGGGGGTTTTTTTCATTATCGACTCACGGATTTAAATATATTTATAACGTTTCAATCTATTCCAGTTATTATTCTTATTAATGCTCAAACTGTCCCCCTTTCATTGGTGACAGATTCAATTTGGTTCCTGAAACCTTTTGACAGAAGCCTGGTGGCTCTGATAGCTCCCTTGCTTTTGGTATAAAACGTCCAGAATCATTTTGTACATCTTCCAGTTCCAGTTCTGGACTCAATCATTTCTCCAAGAAGCAGTGGTTACTTGTAATGGGAAATGGTATTTGGAAACCATAATCTGGGTGCTAGGGGTGCTCACTGCTACTGGATTAGTAACTATATAAATGATGTTTTAGGGACAAGAAACAACTGAACATAAGTATCTCATCAACAACCAACTTTTACTGGCCTCTAATTTGGTCTTTTCTGCATAAGCAACAATACTCTAAACTTGTACATTTAAACTTCTTCAGGATGGGAGTGGTGGGAGTTTGAGTGTCTTTATTTTTAGACAATTCTAACCAAAGAGAACTACTGAACTAAATGTGCTAAGAAATCCATACTAGAAGTCATAATAAATATAAAAATTGTATATATGAGAGAAGTGGTGACTGGTTTTCTTCTGTGGAGGCTATGTTACAATTATGACCAAGACAGAAATCACAACCAAAAAATATTCGGGGGAAAGAAAACTTAAAATCATAGGTTCAAAAAAACAGAAATTCATTTTTTTGATTTGATACACATCAATCCCAGCCTCACACATGTACATTTGATAGCCTATAAAATACACATTTAAATTCTATACTCTTAATAATGGGAGGCTGGTTAGAACCAAACGATGAGGCTTCATTTAGTAGGTCACACCCAGCTGACTTTTCAACAAAATAGCACTGAAAAAGAAAAATCCTGTTTCTAATCAGTTGTTTAGTTAGAATATAAGAGCTCAATTTAAAGCAGCAATTTCAGTATCTAAAGTTATAAGCAAAGACAGGTGCAAAAGGTACCCCCCCAATTTTCACTTAAGTCAAATACATGGGTACTTCAAAAGGTTCATGGAAAAATTTGTATTATTTTTTAATTCCATTTTTCCACGAACTTTTTGAAGTACCCTTGCACATGGACAATCAGACACTTATGATAGCATGTACTTACTGGGTAAAGGAACATGACCAGTAGAAGCCTCTTGATAATCAGTAAGAAAGATAAAACAAAAACACCCTAAAACCATGCACACATACCCTCTATTTGTCAAATACTTAGCGGCAGCACTATTCCTAGCGATACTTCCAGCAGGTGATATATGATCTGTCGTGACACAGTCTCCCAAATATAATAAGACATGGGCATTTTCAATAGGCTGGAGTGCAACTGGCTCTTTGGTCTAAAAGGTAAAAGTTCAAGGCATTTAACTCTTCACAAGGTTTCTCAGTTTATAACAAATCTTTAAAAGATCAAACAATAAAACAGTACTTACAAGTTTATCAAAAAATGAAGGACATCTGATATAAGTAGATTTTAAGTCCCATGGAAACAAAACTGAATCTGGTGCTTCTAAGGAATTCCACCATTTATTTCCCATCTGTGAATATGGTTTTGGATGATGAATCAAAGGAAAGATAAAAGGAGTCAGAAAAAGAAGCTTACGAAAATGATTAAGAGAATAAAGCAGTACTTAGGTCAGAATGAAAAAAAAAAAATAGGCCTTCCTTATCCATTTTGAAAGACAGCTAAGATAGTGAATTCTATAAAATCATAACATTTTTGGACAGAATAATTAAAGATTTGCTCATCAAACTCCAGCACACCAGATCATCAGGAAAACCCAAGAGTTAAGTTTCAATATAAACTGAACATAAAGGCTTCACAGAGTCCAAAAAAGCTAAAGAATCTAGAAAGACCTACGTGTGTTACTAAAAAGAGATTAAGCATGTGTAGGGTATTCTGTTAATCTTTAAGAATGTTATCATGGAGAAAAACCTCTGCTTTTTTTCAAAATATTTGGCTCATATATTTGGTCCTTTGGTCCTGCCTTCACACTATATCCAAAAATCTGTTTCTCACCACCTCCACTGCTACCCCAGTGACCCACCCCATCAACATCTTTTACTTTGGACTACTGCAACTGGTCTTCCTATTTATATCCTAATTACCCAACCCTTCTCCCCCCACAATATATTTTCAATACACAGACAAAGCAATCTTTTTTGGTAGACTCTGACACACCTCTGTTCAAAACCTTCCTATGGCTCCCCCTCTCACCTTACTTAGGGTAAAAGACTTTTGTTATAATGGCCTAAAATTCCCTATGGGATCCAGACCTCCATTTTCTTTCTGACATCAGTTCATAACACCACTCTTCTTATTACTATGCTCTAGTCACACTGCCCTCATTAAGACTCCCTCCTTAAGGCCTTACTCTGATTAATACTTACTACTTTTTAACAAATAATAAATATCATATAATTTACCTAATTATTGTCTTTACAATTCACTGCCTGTCTCTCCCCATGAGAACTGTGTTTTGTTCACGGATGTATTCCAAACACCTAGAACAGAACCTGGCACACAGTAAGGGCTTGATAAATATTTGCTCACTGAATAGGTACTATTTCTGCCCTCATATTTATATTCTCTGTTCTTAAAATAAAAGTCTGTATACATGATTTGCGTGCATGTGCGTTAAAACAGCTCTGGGAAGATGCTTTAAGAAAGACATCACTAGTTGTTCTAGAGAGGCAAACTAAATGGCTAGATTGGAGCAAGCAGGATTGTATTGTTTGCTCTTATTTCTTTTGAATTTTGAACCATTTGAATGGGAGTGACAAGGGCAGTTTCTATGAAGTCTGCCCACATTCAGGATGCCAAGTATAAGTGCCTGCTATACATTTCTAATAAGTAAATAAAATCAGTTCTAATTACTCTAAGCCATTCTCTTTGTAATTAGGGATTACAGATTCAAAGTACCTATTACTCATTAAAAACTGTACATTCAAAGTAATGTATTTTTAATTTCTATTCTATTCAGCAAGATGCATGAAATAAAAGACTGAACTTTATTAAGCTATTTAAGAAACAAATAAGACTCTTACCTCTATTTTTTCTTTTAGTGTTTTAAACATGGATAGTATAACATGTTCTTCTTCTACCTGATGAACTTCTTCTTGACTAGGCCAAATATCATGCAGATAAATGTTCTTGCCAGTAGGGTCAGTACCTGGTTAAAGATTTTAATATGATATTCAATAGAAAAAGTGTGAACATTTTGAGGGAGTTATTTTTTATAAGACATATCATAGAAACCAAGTAAATTATCAACAACATGGTGCTTCAGGCTTAAGTAACTAGAAGAACTAATTACTTGTACATTTTATATTCCTCACGTGAACACAGAAATTAATAACTACGCATTATCATAGGTTTTCCTGAAATAATTCAAAGAATGGATGGTCTAAGAAACATTAAAAAAAATAGCAACTTTTGGGGGAAAAGTGTGTGCAGGTATGCATATATATAAAGGAAAAGATACCTAAAGGCTCTGTCTGGAAATCTATATTCACGGTGCCTGCTATGGCATAAGCTACCACTAAGGGTGGAGAGGCAAGATAATTGGCACGAACACAATCACAAAGACGACCTTCAAAATTTTTGTTTCCAGATAAAACTCCACAGGTAACCAAATCTCCCTGAAAAAAACAAACAAACAAAAAAGGATACACACATACACAAATAAATGTATTCAGTTTAAAAGATGGTATAAATTTGGATAATCATATATAAGCAATCTCAAATATCAGTGTGAGGGCAAGATAACCAAAAAACATATTGCTAATTTTAGGTACAGAACAATCAGTCCTACAAATAAACTAAAATAATTCCTTACATTCTTTTGAATCATTTTAAGATTCATAGGTTACTCTTCCCAAGAAGTGTAAGGACTATAAAAATATAAATACACAAATATTATTTTCCATAATTTAATAACAAAACATAGTTAAGAAAACCCACTTAGATAGTTTGCTGATCCACACATTTTACCTGTTTTACTGCATTTAAAACTGCTTCTGATAAGGGTGCTGTATTTCCCACACAGGTTGAACATCCATAGCCAATTATTTCAAATCTGCATTTCAAAATATAAATGTCACTGGACAACACATCACAGCATTTGTAAAGAAAACAAGTTTTATCTTTCATTTCCATCACTGTAGTAAGAGAACTTAAAAGAATATTCATGACATGGATTAACATTAACCATCATCAATCTATGTTTCACAACATTCTGAACAATTGATTCTAACTCTCAGGCATGCTATTTGTATTGAACTGAAACCTTTGAAGAGCCTTCATACTTAAGACATTCCCTGTTAAGTCAACAGCACCTATCACACTACATAAGAAAATTCCTCAAATACTATTTGCTAGGAATATAACATTACCTTTTAAAAAACTGATATTGTACTTCCATCCAAAGAGGTTTAAACTGTAAAGTATCAGGAGGACCTGGCTATAACAATCTGACCAATGGCCCCAATTGGGCACTAAAAAGGAGTAAATCTTTCAATTCTCAATCAATTAAACCCAAGAGTCCCTGACAATAATTTCAAAATGATATAACTAGAAGATTACAGTATAATCTTCTAAATTACTCTTAGCTGTTGTTCTAAAAGCAAAACATCTAAAATTTATCAGGTGTGCAAAAGAATTGATGGTTTATGTAAGACAATATGTTGCAAAATATACATTGAAAACACAAATAGCATCAATTATTTTTGTTACATAAGCAACAAAAATTATTTTCTCTAAAGTTCAGGGACAACTTAACCTATGTATTATAGACCTAATAACTTCACAAAACCTCAATTAAGACAATTTACTCAGTCAATAAATGCAACCCATAATGTTTCATTCTTCTCTGAACTTATTACACAACGTTGGAAATTATGTACTACTTGGTGACATCTCTCATACTGTCTGTCACCATCACTTGGTTTTACTTGTTTACCCTGTCTTTCCAACTAAGTATCCTAAAGCTAGGATCATGTCTCCTACTTCTAAGTAGCCAATGCCTTGTTCATTGGATATGCCTAATAAGTGCTGAATATTAAATAAGGCCTCAACAACTGTGCAGTAATGGCAAGATTAACAAGTAGAACTCAAGCATATTTTTTCTGTCTTCTCTTTGTATATGAAAGACCTTAACAAGCAGCTTCAATAACTCCTGAATACTAATGTTAACTATTTAAGTGATAACAGTCACTTACCCAAGCTTACTAAGATATGGTAATACTCCACTTGAACTGAGGTAATGTGTAACCATCCCACTGCCTGGAGATAAACTTGTTCTTATATAAGGTTTAACACGCAGACCAGCTTCAACAGCCTTTTTAGCCAAAAGACCTGCACGGCCAACAAACAATGATTTATTATGACAGTGTTTATTTCCCTCTTTCACTCTTACTAAAGTAGGAAAAAATGGCTTTAACAGACTGATCTCCAATTCAGATTAAAGTCCAAATTCATAAATTTACTGTCATTATTTTCTCCATTTTATTCTGTTGATTTGCTTCATTTAGGACAAATTAAAAATTGTAGCAGATATACTAGCCTTAATATTGTAAATTAAGGTACAGACCAACATCATGGCATCATGCACACAAATGGAAATAAAAGATGCACATATATAAGATATTAACTGAACCATTTTTAAATGCCATAATAAACTAACAGCAATTTAATATTTACTATACATGATTTCATAAAGTTAATGAACTATCCCAATGTATATACAAATCGATTTCATTTACAGTCCTTGTCAATAATCTTTTACTTCTTTTATAACTCTCAGTTGAACCTAGCACACTATTATGGTAGTAAACTTATAGGAGATAATCAAGAAACACTTGCTAATTAACTATATTTCTAAATCAACAGAAGCAGATACAACCTAAAATTAATAGACATGTAAGTTATAGTAAAAAAATTTATCAGGGCTGGGCAGTTAGCTCAGTTAGTTAGAGTGTGGTGCTGATAGCTGATAACACCAAGGTCCAAGGTTCAATCCCTGTACCAAAAAACCCCACAAAAACGTACCTTCTGTGTAAGAAGAACAAAACTAATAACACAAATCAAACTTAGGGTCCTTAAGACCTAATTAAAATCTCAGAAAGTCTCAATATCAAACACAGACACTGATACTCAGGCATAATCTAAGAAACAGAAAGTGACTATAACAGAAAAGCAAAAAATAACTTAGGAAAAGAAAATGTATGGCCATAAACCACAACCTACCTGCAGCAAGCATGACAGACGGATTGCAATTATTGGTACAACTGATAACTGCAGCAATGACCACTGATCCATGAGACAGCTTATATTCACTTCCTTCATAATGAATACAGATGATATCATTTTGTTTTTCAGCTGCAATTTGGAAGCCTTTAAATCCAACCTATACAAATTTGCACATAAAAATAAACTAAATATCCTGGATATGCAGTAAAAAAAAAAAATTGGTAGGAAATACAGCAGACATCTGACATTTAATGATTTAACATTCAAAGTTCTGACTATTTGTGAGTGACACTGAAAGTCTCTAACATTCAGTAATTGTAATTCAACTAAAGCATGAATTTGAATAGTCACGACAGGAGTCTGGTGGTGTTCATAACCAGAGTTTTTATCTACTAAGTCCAGCCAACTACACAGAATCCAGATCTTATTTGGCTTTGTTGTTCTCTATTCAGCCCTGCTTACAGTAATTCTCAAGAGATGGTACAAACTTTTTCTTTGTTAAAAATGGCCCTGAAGATTTGCTCCAAAATGATCCTGTGTGTGTGAGTGCAAACAAGATTGGCTATGAGTTGGTCATCATTGAAGCAAGGTAACAGATACCTGGCAATTTACTACACTATTTTATTTTTGCACAAGTTTAACATTTTCCAAATAAAAGCCAAAAAATCATAAAAAAGAAAGACTCTGCAGAGAAAGCCAACTATTAGTCTCATAATACAACACAGAAAGTGACAAGATTGAAGCCATGATTCTCAAGCAGAAAATACAAACCCTCAAAAGCCAAAGAGGTCACTTGTTAATTCAGTTACATTTTACCAAATTTTATGAGAGTAATTACACAGTGTAGTGGCTTTTTCCTAGTCTGGGAAGTCACAAAAATCTAGAACAGTGCTGTCTAATAAAACTTCCTGTGATTATGTAAATATTCAATATCTGTGCTGTCCAACACAAGAGCTATAGCCACATGTAGCTATTCAGCACTTGAAATGAGGCTATTGTGACTAAGAAACAATTATAAACTTTAATTTTAATTAATTTAAGTTTTACTATAAATAGATACAATCAACCTTTGATCCTCACAGTGGAACTGGGAATAAGTTCATCAAATGACTGCCCTGCACACAGAACAGTAGGAAATTAAGGGAGTTGCTGATGTGTGCCATAATATATAAAAAAATAGCAGTGGATTGAGTTTGTGGGTCCCCTTGTTGGTTCTTTACTATGTGGCACAAAGCATGTTGACAAATAAAGTAATCTACCTTTTCATTTAAGCAAGCCTGAAAATCACTTTTCATATCTGTCACAGCAACTCTATCCTGAGGTCTTTTTGGACCACTGACAGAAGGAACTATTGAATTCAGATTAATCTGGATCACCTAGGAATAGAGAAAGGAGAGAGGGATGAATAGGTGGAGCACAGAGGATTTTTAGGCAGCAAAACTATTCTGTATGATACTGTAATGGTTAATACATGACATTATACATTAGATAAAACCCATAGAACTGTACCATACAAAGAGGGAACCCTAATATAAAATTAAGTTAATAATAATATATAAATATTGATTCATAATTACAACAAATGTACACACTAATGTAACATGTCAATAACAGGAGAAAATGTACACGTGAGTAGGAGGAGGGTAGGGAACTATCTGTACTTTCTGCGCAATTTCTCTGTAAAACTAAAACTGCTGTAAAAATAAAGGAAGAGTACACACTAATGTAACATGTCAATAACAGGAGAAAATGTACACGTGAGTAGGAGGAGGGTAAGGAACTATCTGTACTTTCTGCGCAATTTCTCTGTAAAACTAAAACTGCTGTAAAAATAAAGGAAGAAAAAAAATGAGAAAGAAGAGGAAGAGAAGGAATAATTCGTAAGTACAGATTCTAATTCAAGCATTACTTTCTCAAGCAGAATAAGTATATTCACATTTATTTTAATGCAATTTATGTTAATGGTGAAATACAGCCCAAGAAATAAAGATTTTAAACAAGCCCCTTTAAATTTATGAAACACAAATATGAAAATTTGCTAAAAGACTAACAAATCAGTATGCAAACTAGCACATTAAGTGTATTGTCTATATAAAATTTGTGATTCTTCAAATGTGTTTTTTCCCACAAAGATAAACACTGTCTTTAACAGATGCCCAATGGCAAAGTAGATGCCTGTGCCATCTTTCAATTTTATTGCCTCTGAGCTCCAAATTTATTGTGATTATGGTTAGTAAACATTTCTTTGTCAGCTTCCATGTGAAGCATGGCCAACAGAGGGTGCTGGAGAGACACAGCAGAGAAAGGGTTTTTTCTTCCTGGTTCCAGAGGGTCTTGCTGGCCAGGCCCCTGCAGACTAAGCTTTTATTCCTTGGTTGAGGAATCATATTTTGAGGCCGGCCCGTAGCTCACTCGGTAGAGTGCGGTGCTGATAACACCAAGGCCACAGGTTCGGATCCTATATAGGGATGGCCGGTTTGCTAACTGGCTGAGCGTGGTGCTGACAACACCAAGCCAAGGGTTGAGATCCCCTTACCGGTCATCTTTAAAAAAAAAAAAAAAGAAATCATATTTTGTTAAAGTTTCACTTCCCAACTAGTTCCTACTTATTTTTTCTGGTATATCTACCATTTCCTTTGTGCATTTTATATGGGTATAACCAATGTGAAACTTTCTCTTCACTATGGCTTTCTTTCATCATTATTTAATACCCCTGTTTATTCTGACTGATCATAACTATTTTTCTTATACTCTCATTTAATGGATTCAGGTGATCTCAGTCTTTGCCCTTTAGGAGTTTCTCTTAAAATCAACATCCTGATGAATTTTAGTTTTATTTCTCAATACAATCAAGTTTTTTTTAAATTGGCAAATTTATTCCATTTTATTCTACCACCCATGTTTTCCCATTTAATTTTTATTATTTTCATTTATGTCTTTTTTAAAAATGTGGACAATGCACTAAATTTGACAGAGGTGAAAAAAATCAGAAAATGATCAGAGAAGTTAAGAGATCGTCCCAAATTGTTACACAGGTTCAACTCCTATGGGTTCTATATTGGCCCTTCAATATACATATACATATTCACTTATTCACCTAACATATTCACTGAATATCTATTATGCACTGATCACTATTCCAAGAGCTGGGGATATAATATCACTATTCCAAGAGCTGGGGATATAATATCAAACAAAACAAAGTTTCTGTCCTCTTGGAGTTTACTTATATTCCAGAGGGGAAAAGAGAGAAGAACAAGTATACAAATTAATAGATAATGTAGGAAGATATGCTATAAAGAAAAATAAAGCTGGGTGAGAAAATGAATTTCCCTACAAAAAATAGCTTAACAGTTAACCAAACCCATGTTGTTATAGATCCTTGACACATTCCTAGAAAATTAATTTTATTAAATTAAGACTTTTCTGAAAGTGAATTCTATTTAAATATATAACTCTATTTCCAACAGATAAGAAATATTTGCTTAGACTGTAAAATATCTTTAAAAGTAACATTTAAGGCCATATAACTGTGTATCTTTTATTTTTCTCGCAGCTGTCCAGTACAGGGATCTGAACCCTTGACCTTGGTGTTTTAACACTGTGCTCTAATCTACTGAACTAACTGGCCAGCCCTGTGTATCTTTTAACAGTAGGATTGTGCAACATATAGCCATAAGCCAGATGAAGACTTCATTAAAATTTATTATTTATCTACTGAACTAACTGGCCAGCCCTGTGTATCTTTTAACAGTAGGATTGTGCAACATATAGTCATAAGCCAGATGAAGACTTCATTAAAATTTATTATTTGGGGGGGTAGGGGATATTATACAGCTCTTATCATAAAGTAGAAAAAAATCACAGCAAAGAATTAATAGTCAATATTATATTTTAAATACTAAAAAAATTATAACATAAAATGTTACTAAATTCACAATAGAAATCTATGTAATATTAATGAATAAAATCAAAGTACTGGGCCACAAATAACATTTCTTAAATAATAATAATAGCTACCACTTATTGCATACTTGCTATATGCCTAGAACTGTTCTATAAGTTTGTATTTAATCTAAAAATCCTATGAGGTAGATATTATCGTCATATTTTAGAGATGAGGAGATTGAGGCAGAAAGGCTAAACAAATTGTTCACAGTTATACAGCTAGTAAATCTTAGAGCTGGGATTCAAACCTAGCTGGTCAGATTCCACAATTCACACACTTAACTACTACGAGGTGTGTTATTCTGCATATACCTGGGAGTATTCAGGTTCTCCTGAAGAAGTCTGGTCATTCCGAAACAATTTCACAGCTTTAAGGTACGTTTCCATTGACTTCAGTTTAGCTTTATCAAAACCTAAAAAGATGAACAAAAGCAACAAAATCCACTAAGGAATTTTGAAATCCCTGGAGACTAAGGGTGCTGAATTCCAGTGATGAGCAAAAACAAATATTATTTGCAAATTATTTTACATTTCTCTTTCTTTCTTACCCTTGAGAAGCCACCATCTGAAAAAGCCCAGACTATATGGAGAAACCACATGTGGGTGTCTTGCCTACAAGCCCTGAGTCCCCAGTTGACAGCCAGTTGCTCACTGTCAAACAGGTGAGTGAACAAGCCTTCAGGATTCCAGGCCCTAGCTTTCAAGTTTTGCAGGTGAGTCCCTAGACATCATGAAACAGATATAAAACTGTCCCCATTGTGCCCTGTCTGAATTACTGATCCAGTGAAACCATGGGGCAGTAAATGATTATCGCTGTTTTAAGCCACTAAATTTTAGGATAATTTGTTACATAGTAACAGATCACTAATATCTTAACTCAGATTAATGTGGAAGAAATGAGGTACTTCTAATCATTTCTCTCTTGAATGTTCTACCCACCAAAATCCAGATACAAAGTTTTGCATTTTATGAGGACCATCCCCTCCAGGGTTCCATATGACAAGTCATCCACTTTGTCATTTGATTCATTAATCTATAACAATCTGCCCCCAAAATGAATAATACTAGAATATATTCCCAAATGTAGCTATGATTAGAGATGAGTAGCTTGGCAACAACCTTTTCACAAAAGGAAATGGATAATATCAAAAAGAGATCCTACTTTTTAAAGAATAGTAACCTTATGAAATATCAACATATTCTGATTTTGCAGGTACTTTCTATTTTAAAATAAAGTCAATAGAAGAGTGTCAAAGTTCACAATTAATCAGACTACAAAAAGATTTGGAATCTATAGCCCCTATACTTCTCACAAAATTCCGAGCTTCTTATTCTTTAGGTAGAACAGTGATTCCCTAACCCTATTGTTTTAGAGCTCCTCTACTCTTGATGGAGAAGGGGACAGAAGGGGACAGCTGTGAATATGCTCAAGTCTGACTTCCATTAAATTGCAACCTCTTATCCCTAAGTAAGGGTGGAGGTATCCATCACTAGGGGCGGGGGGGGGGAGGGAGCAGTGAGGTGAGGATCAGACGTTTAGTAATTCCTATAAATTGCTATCAGTGGGTCACAGAGAACTAGGATTCGAGGAAAAAAACACTCTTGAGAAACATCTGATAGTTTATTTGAACCACTGTTTCAGAATAAGATAATTTTACGAATATTAAAAAACATGTATAAAGGTAGTTATTATAAAATATTGTTGGACAGACACACTGGAAATGTAACACATTTATTGTAATAATCTTGTATTTTCTTACCTGTATGTTCTAAATGTTTTAATGTCACATTGTCAACAGGGAAAAAGCTGAGAATAGCACCGTATTCTGGACACATGTTTGCTATTGTAGTTCGATCAACTATAGATAATTGTGAAACTCCACTTCCAAAAAACTCAACAAACTTTCCAGCCACTCCTACTTGCCTGAGGTGCTATATAAAGGGGTGCATGGAAAAACACAGAAAATTAGCAATGATAATAATAGCATGGATTCCCTGAAAACTATATAATCTAATTTTTAACCAATATAGTGAAGCACCAGTGAAGAAATAAGATCCTTCATTGTTTTCATGAAATATCAACTCATTCCAGTTTCACAGGTATTTTAAGATAATCAACAGAAGAGTGGTCCAATGTCACTGTTAATCAGGGTAGAAAAGGGACTCACAGCTCAAGATGGCTACAATTCATATTTTAATATCTCTGAAATCAGGGTACACCTTAGACTTAACAGTGTGTCTGTTTAGCTGGCAGCCCTTTTTCTTTCGTAGCAGTACATAAAACAATGGTGATTCTAACCATTGATGACATCTTAGATTTAATGAAATACTAATATACTGATGAGACTGTATATTTAAATAAAAAATACATGCTGTCTATAAAAATTCTTCAAATCACAGGGCCAGCCTGTGGCTGACTTGGGAGAGTGTGGTGCTGATAACACCAAGGCCACAGGTTCGGATCCCTATAGAGGGATGGCCAGTTAGCTCACTTGGGAGAGTGTGGTGCTGATAACACCAAGGCCACAGGTTCGGATCCCTATAGAGGGATGGCCAGTTAGCTCACTTGGGAGAGTGTGGTGCTGACACCACCAAATCAAGGGTTAAGATCCCCTTACTGGTCATCTTTAAAAAAAAAAAAATTCTTCAAATTACAACTGCTGCCGCAAATATTTACAGCACCATTAATTATAAGTAAATTCCATTTTGGAAGGACTTTTAACATGTGGCTTCAAACTTAATCCCTTCTAAAATAATTTTTTTTTTTAACTTACTACCAAGTAACCAAAACAGCTACTCATCTTTTCTGAATTGTAAAATAGTCTCAGACTGGTATAGGGAGAGAGCCTAAGGAGATGATTAAGAGTGAAACTACCCTCAACTCATGATTAATGTTAAGTCCTAACATTTCGGAATTGCTAAGGATCACTTAATTCAAACTCTTTTCTATAGATGTAGAAATTCAAACCTTAACAACAGACGTTTCTGGGCTGGCCGGTTAGTTCAGTTGGTTAGAGCACAGCCTTGTAACACCAAGGTCAAGGGTTTGGTTCCCCATACCGGCCAGCCACCAAAAAAGAAAGATGTTTCTTTATATTTATGGTTATATTGTTGAGGAAGAGAGAAACACAGATTAGATACACCAAGCCAAATGCTGCTTTCATCAAATTAAAGAGGTACCACAAAATACATTTTGAAAAACTATAAAGATCATGAATAGAATGGAATCTCAAAAAAGAAAGAATAATATATTCAATAAATGTAAATATATATAATAAATTTTTTTAACAATAAGCTAAAACGTCAGCACAGATAATACCATCAAGACAAAATAGCCAGAGGGGCCTAAAAAGCAGCATTAATTTTCAGGATGTCTGAAGGAAAGAATGAACTGATTTCTCTAAAAACATAATTGGATATTCCTTTTCCTTTAGGAATAATCCTATAATTCTCAATTTAACTTCTTGATCTTTTGGTACCATACACTGGATCAATCACTTCTCTAAGATACCAAAATGTTTTCTAATTACAGAAGGATCAATACCAAATGCTGAGAGGGAGGCATTACCATTTTATTACCCTGCGGAATATCCTGAAAGCCTTCAGACCAATAATCTAACCAAAAATGCTGAAATCCAAGTTGGAATTATATGTGAAACATTTTCCAGGTGTGTTCATTTAACAACAGGGGCTTAATCATTAAAATAAAGTTAGTGAAAATCAGAAATTTAAGATGGAGAGTTACAAATTATTCACTAGGAGATCCTTGAGTATATGTATTAAAGGCATACAGCCACTATTGTGAAAATTCAGAGAAAAAGTTTCTATATAATACTTCAACATGTTAAAACACCCAATAGAAAAATATGACACTCTCATATTTCTGTAGTCCATATTTTTTAAAACATTATCTAGTTCGGGCCAGCCCAGTGGCGCACTCGGTAGAGTGCGGCGCTTGGGAGTGCAGCGGCACTCCCGCCGAGGGTTCGGATCCCATGTGGAGAGCGGTCCGCTCACTGGTTGAGCGCGGTGCGGGTGCAACACCGAGGGTTGCGATCCCATTGCTGGTCGCGGTACGGGCGCGACACCGAGGGTTGTGATCCCGTTACCAGTCACGAAAAAAGACAAAAAGGTAAAAAAAAAAAAAACATTATCTAGTTCAGCAATGGTTTCTACTGGGCAAATAATTCAATTAAAGGAGATACAATCAGCCTTTACTAAATTTGAAATTCTTTTTATTCACGTAGTCTCTGCTCTCATGAGGCTGCTCCACTTACATAAAAATAACGTCCACTAAGTCATTCAGCTACCACAGCTTTAACTTACCTTTGTAATGCCAAGAACAACATCGATGGAGGTAATGAAAGGGTTTGATGACCCAATTAACTCACATCCAACGACCTCTGGTAAAGTAAGAGAAACTGGCAGACCAAGCATAACTGCTTCTGTTTCAATGCCTCCAACCCCTAACATAATAACGACAGGTATATTAGCATAGTACATTAAAAGATAATTTATCTCTGTAACATCTAAATCTCTAGATGTTTTGTGAGCATGTCTTACATAGTACCCTATACAGAGTTGCTACATTACTATTACTGTGGACACTGAGCCCAAGCCTTCTGAAAAGAATGATTCTACTTACATGGTCGAAAAAACTGATTTTGACCTTTTTATTAAATTCAGTAAGCATCTAGTGAGTTTTTATTACGCTACGCACTGTACTATACATGCTCAAGGATACAGATAATGAATAGAACCCTGTCCCTGTCAACCTCAAGAAGATCTATTTAATGAAAAAGATCCCCCCAAAGTCAACAATTATAACACCCTGTAAAAGAGTAAGTAGAGTGTGGTACACTTAATGAATGGAGTTAGGACTTTCAGGAGAACCTGAGGTTATTATTGAAGGAGGAGTTAATAGTAGCCACATTTCAACAACAAAAGGGTAGTCAGCAGAATGCATTCTGTCAGAGGGAACGGCTGGTGTAAAGCTATTAAGTATAAAAGAGCACAGCCCACTTAGGTAAATGAGAGACCAGTCTCTAAGGTGAGTGTGGGTAAATGGCCAAAGAAACCCAGCTGTGAAGGGCCTTGCATAAAATACTAAGGAATTTGGATTTACAGAGGAGACCAGGAGAGCCACGGAAAGACATTAAACAAGGAAGTAACCTTTATAGACATCATTATCATCACTCAATTATTTCACAAATGGTAGTGTTGTGATGGGCACTATGCAAATTTCTGTCCATAAATCCTCTTTTACCACTGTTCACAAACACTTAAATTCTGTTGTTTCTGATATGATTAAAGATGAAAAAAACAGAGCCTTAGAGGCTATTAAGTGTTGTGATGGGCACTATGCAAATTTCTGTCCATAAATCCTCTTTTACCACTGTTCACAAACTCTTAAATTCTGTTGTTTCTGATATGATTAAAGATGAAAAACACAGAGCCTTAGAGGCTATTAACACCCACTGTCTATGTTCTTTTATAACATTCTTGACACCCCATTCCCAAAAGAAATTAAATATACTGAGTCATTTACTTACCCCACCCCAGAATCCCCAAACCATTCACCATGGTTATATGAGAATCTGTGCCAACTACACTGTCCGGGAAGAGGAGGTCCTTTTCTTCAAAAACCACTCTTGACAAATATTCTAAGTTTACTTGATGAGCCATTCCAGTTCCAGGGGGGATTACAGCCACATTTTTAAAAACTCTTGAGCTCCACTATATTTTGTTTAAATTTAAGAAGTAAAAGTACATTATGTGAATTTGTGCTCAAAATCAAGATATAAATAAACATTAACACTAAAAATATTTGAACCAATGTTAAATATGGTCAATTCAAAGTTCATGGCACATACTTAAAAACAAATATACAGTACAAACCTAAATATATCCATTTTGTAGATCATTAAAACAAAATTAAGTCAAATAAAAATGTTCAAATAGTCCAGATAAATGGTAGTATTCAACTATGTTCCAAGGATTCTCAGGAATGGGAAGAAGGGAAGGCCTAATGTACCCAAGTCCTCCAAGCTCACTTAAAATTAGAGCCACTGTTTTCATATATACTAGGGTTTCCAATAAGGTTTTATTTGAAGGAACAAAAGGGTTCTACTTCTATAAAGCCTTTAAAAACCACTAAACATATAAAAATTATACCTATCGATATTTTATAAATTCTAATACAAAAATTTCCCTGAATCATTTATACCTTGAAAAATTGAAGCCTCTCTCGATTTCTGCCAAATTCTACTTCTTGATTTTTTAACACTGTTTCCGGTCTAAAAGGAAGAAGACCTGGCATTAAACGTATGTACTACAAAAAGACTTGCCTTGTTTCTTTCTAAGTCTTCATTCTTACACACATATATATAAACATTTAAAATCTTTGAAAGAACAATTTACTGGACTTCTCAGAATTTTCTTTTTCAACAAGAAGTTCTGCTTTAAATAACAGTAGAAAACTATAGCAATAAGTTATTATTTTACTGAGTATAAGAAAGCTATGTCCACAACCAGTGTCTATAACTACTAAAAATGCATTATTGTGAGAGATTTGGCTAAAATCATAACAAAAATAAAATGGTAAACTTTGCTGGGTTTTCCATTGCAAGAAAAAAGGAGAGCAGCAATTTATTCAACAATAAGCATATGCATTTATACTCATTTGGCTTTTGTGCCAGTTAAACTGGGAGATGAGCCTTGACTATAGCTATGTAGCAATGACAAACACTTCAAAATCATTTTGTAGTTTTAAAAAAGCTTTTAGCAAAAATCTTTTATTCATCTCACCCCAAATGGGAGCTTGTACTTTGTTTTTATGTATACACAGCAATTTACCTTACGTGGATTAGAAACATATTTCACATAAATTATTTATTTATTTATTTACATTTTGTGTGTGTGCATGTGTGTAGCTGGCCAGCACGGGGAACCATATCCTCGACCTTAGTGTTACAAGGCTGCAAACTAACCAACTGAGCTAAACAAGCCAGCCTCTACATAAATAATTTAAACTAAGAGATAAAACAATTCACCTCTAATCAATAAATGTGGTACCATTTTTAGGAAACTATTTTTATCTAATGAATTTTTTTAAAAAATATTTCAAACAGCTTTAAGTTGTTTATTTCACTTGCCAGCTGGTGATTAAGTGTTGACTAGACTATCAATATAACTTAAATTATATATGTCCTCCAGGGTCCAGATAATTATTGTTAACTGTCGGCTTGCTTTTTTTTTAAAACAAAAAACAAAGATTACCTTAATAATTCATGGCTAACTGATCATTTGAAACCAAGTATATCTTAGGGAGACTGTTCTCAGGACCTCAGGGAATACAGCTTTCTAGAGCCACTCCAATTATTTTACCTTCCCATAGCACTTATGGCTACAAAGTGCCATACAAACATTTAATAACTCATAACCTGACTTCAAATTAGGCAGTGATTTCAAGTGTCAAATGTTATGTTCTCAATTTTCTACCCATCAATTTCTTGTTTGAGTCTATAATTAATACTTCATTGATGCATTAAAAGACACAAAAGAGTTATTATTTTCATACAGCCAGGGACTACAATATAACCCATCTTAATACTTTGTAATTTAGAGTCAAAATTGAGTGGAAATGTTACACCAGATTAGATTTTTAGAAATAAAAAAATAACAGTAAGCACATCACACTCTGCTAGTTAAAAAAAGAAAACTTAAGGGGGGGAAAAAAACCCACACATACAATAATTCTGAATCAATAAATTTTCTTTTTCAGGAAATTAATTTCTGTATAAGAAGTTAACATGCCTAAAAAAGAAAACTTAAGGGGGGGAAAAAAACCCACACATACAATAATTCTGAATCAATAAATCTTCTTTTTCAGGAAATTAATTTCTGTATAAGAAGTTAACATGCCCCTAACAATCAGGACAACTAGCAGGAACAAGGAGTGATTACATAAAACTGTCATAATTTGATGACAAAGGACTCACAGATTATATTGAATTCTTAGAAAGGAAGAGCACATGAGGTCACTATAACCCAAGGCTTTGTAAAAATATTACGCCCCAAATTTAAGAATTAGACAGAACTTGAAAAATCTAGTTCAGGGGCAAATTAATTAAGTTATCATTTAGCACTTACAATAAATATGCATGGGTATTATTCTTAGTTACTCTAAATCTTAAATGTGTTAAAGTTTTTTAAAACTAAAACGTAAATTATTTTTTGCTAAAAAAAAAAAAAGACAGTGTATTTATCAAAAATAGCAGCAGAGATACATAGACATGAAAATAACTTTAAATTGAGACTGAATACAAAAAATTTCACCAATCCACAAGCTTTTCACCATAGTTTTTCCTTTTGTATTACTGGTCAACACTAAATATATATACTTGACTCTGGCATAAATGATCTCTACTCCTTTTCCTCTATACTATACACTTCCAGTGGGTTGGTTACCAGCTAATTTGCACAGCTATTTTTATAATTATCTGTATTGAAGTACCATTTACTGAAGTCAATTTGTAAAGAATGGTCAACTGTAAGATCTGTCGGACAGGCAGGGTGGACTTTCTTAGGATCACCTCCAAGAGTTTTCACTGCCTCCCTCATAGCAGCAAAATCCACCATTGCCGGTATTCCACTAAAAAATAAAAAGTGATCATATTACATTTCTAATTGTTTTCTGTATGTGCTGAATAAATGATTAATACTATTTTTGATAAATTAATAAATGATTAATTATTCATTAATAAATAAATGATTATACTCATTTTCAAACTTAAAAAGTATCCCTTTTTATTTTGCATTCATTTTGGGGGTTTTTTTTGGTAGCTGGCCAGTATAGGGATCTAAATCCTTGATCCTGGTTTTATAACACCGCGCTCTTACAAGCTGAGCTAATTGGCCAGCACTATTTGTACTCATTTTTATTTACTTAATTTTTTTGGCAGCTGGCCAGTACAGGGATTGATCCCTGGACCTTGGTTTTATTAGCACCATGCTCTAACGAACTGAGCTAACTGGACAGCCTAGAAAGGGCAATTTTTTAAATTGATAAACTAACCTTCAAAATTAAAAAACAGAGCCATCTATCAGAGAGTCTGAATTTTAAAAACGGAACAGTCTGAACATTCATCCATTAAAAAATAAACCCATCACTCACGTAAAATCTTGAAGAAGAACACGGGCAGGGAAAAAGGGCACTTCAACATTGCTTTGTTTGGTTTTCCAGTCTAAAATGTTCATAACATCTTCCTTTTTCATTAAAAAGCCATCACAATTTCGTACAGCAGCTTCCAACAGAACCCGTATTGAGTAAGGCAGAACATCTGATTCAAGAGAAAATACTACTATTAATAAGGGAATAGTCATACCTATATATTATAAAAATTACAATAGCAAAAAGTTAGATAAAGACAAAGACACATTGTTTTCTCAATTTTAAAAATTCACTTTTTAGTCTAATAAACACCATTCATGTTAACATCAGGCTTTCTGTAACTTCGACTTTCCTATACGTAAGCCCAAGGCCCTGAAAAAGCAGAGATAAAAACCTTCACATAAGGGCCAGCCGGGTGGCGCACTAGAGAGTGCGCCGCTTGGGAGCGCGGCGGCGCTCCCGCTGAGGGTTCGGATCCCATGTGGAGAACAGTTCCCGCTCACTGGCTGAGCGCGGTGCGGGCGCAACACCGAGGGTTGTGATCCCGTTGCCGGTCCCCGGTACAGGCGCGACACCAAGGGTTGTGATCCCGTTACCGGTCAGTAAAAAAGACAAAAAGGAAAAAAAAAAAAACCTTCACATAAGAAATGCACTGATTTGGACATATAAGACTGTAACTATAATGAATAAAGTTTAAAATTAAGTTGAGATGCTTAGATGACTAAAATTTATTTCGTGAAACCTTTCATTCGCTCTTGATTATTTGTTTAAGGATATAATAGAAAAAGATTTCAGTATTTTAAAATTTTCAAACATAATAAATCCTTACACCAGATTTTGCCACACAAAAGTGTTCCCTTAGGACTTAAAGGGAAGACTGAATTAGAATGAGATTGGTTGAATAAATCATGGTAATCTGCATAATGGATTTTCATGAAGCTGTTTAAAGGAATGAAGAGTTGTATATACTGGGGGCCGGCCTGTGGCTCACTCAAGGATTAAGATCCCCTTACCGGTCATCTTTCAAAAAAATAAATAAATAAAGAGTTGTATATGCTGAGCAGGAGTGATCTGCAGAATATATTATCATGGAAAAAAACACCCTGCACTAGCCAGCTGCCCCCCCACAAAAAAGGGGGGGAGAAATGTTTATACTATACCAACCTTTCTTGTAAGAAAGGGCGTTAAGGACCAGCCCATGGCTCACTCGGGAGAGTGTGGTGCTGATAACACCAAGGCCCCGGGTTCAGATCCCTACATAGGCATGGCCGGTTAGCTCACTGGGTGAGCGTGGTGCTGACAACACAAAGTCAAGGGTTAAGAACCCCTTATCAGTCATCTTTAAAAAAAAAAAAGAAAGAAAGAGGGTTAAAAATATATATGCATAATAATATATATTAAATATATTCTTTTAAAACTACACACTAAATGTATAACTTAAAATTATATATTATATACTAAATAAATAATTTTACCCTACCCAACCCCCCTTTTCGTTTGTTTTTTCTTTTTCTTTCTTTTTTTTTTTTTTGGCAACTGGCCGGTACAGGAACTGAACCCTGGACCTTGGTGTTATCAACACCACACTCTATCCCAGCACTGGCCATCCCCCAAAACAGAAAACAAAAACAAAAACACCACACTCTAACTAACTGAGCTAACCAGCCAGCTATAATTTTAAATATATATATAAATATATACATACAGTTGGTCCCTCAGTATCTGTGGGGGATTGGTTCCAGGGACCCCCCCGGATACCGAAATCCCTGGATGCTCAAGTCTCATAGAAAATGGTACAGTATTTCCATACAACCTAGCACATCCTCCTGTATACTTTAAATCATCTCTAGGTTACTTATAATGCCTACACATCATTTCAATCACGTACTCAGCATGCAACAAATTCAAGTTTTGCCTTTTGAAAGTTAGTGGTATTCCCCACCTCCCGCCATCAATTATTTTCGATCCGTGGTTGGTTGAATCCAGATACAGACTCCACAGATACAAAGGGCCTACTGTATACATATTTTCATAAAAAGAAACAATAATAGGATAAACTGAAAAACTTAGTATCTCCCATACAGTATTTTGACTATTATTCTTTAGCAGGATATATTCTTTTTTTTTTTTTTGTCCTTTTTTGAGACTGGCCGCACCACGCTCAGCCAGTGAGCTCACCAGCCATCCCTATATAGGATCTGAACCCGCGGCGGAAGCGCTGCTGCGCTCCCAGCGCCACACTCTCCCGAGTGCGCCACGGGCTCGGCCCTAGCAGGATATATTCTAAGGACAAAAAGAATCACAAAGAAAGCAAACTATATTTAGTCATTAGAACTGTTATTTTGTCTTTTTTTTTTTTTTAAAGATGACCGGTAAGGGGATCTTAACTCTTGACTTGGTGTTGTCAGCACCACAATCACCCAGTGAGCTAACCGGCCATCCCTATACGGGAGCCGAACCCTGGGCCTTGGTGTTATTAGCACCACACTCTCCCGAGTGAGCCACGGGCTGGCCCAGAACTGTTATTTTGAAATTGTCATATGTATAATGAGAAGAAAGCAAATAAGTAATTTTGTTACTATGGTTGGGAACCAAGATTTTCAAGAGTAATGATATACAAGAATAAAATCCGAGTAGCTAAGTTAAAAAACAATTTACATTTCAACTGAAAACATGGGTATGAACTCATGATTTTTCTTTCTAAAAAATGTTTGTCCTAGCTCTATCTACTGAAAATGCCTAGAAAAATGACAACCTAATAGTAATGAACTCCTAGCAACTCAGTTTGTTGTTTCTAAATATTATTTCCCGGTCCCGCCCAGTGGCGCACTGGATAGTGCGCCGCTTGGGAAGCGCGGCGGCGCTCCCACCCGAGGGTTCGGATCCCAC